GGGTAGAGAAGAGGGATACATACCGGCAATTGGTTGTTTCAGTGAAGAGAAGAAAAGATTGATCCTTTGATAATTGTACCCCATTAGGAAAAGCCAATCCATCCAAAACAACATGAGTACTTCTTGTAGCAATATCATACCTAAGAATCCTACCAGTGTCTTCTCCTTCTAACATTATAAGAAAATGGTTCCTACATACACATACTAAAGAATTAGTACTACTATTTGGTAAAGTCAGAAAGATTATTTTTTTTTAACTAACTTACACTCTGTTGTATTTCTTGCTAGTGTCAGTGAAGAAGATGGAGCCATTTGTATGGATATCAAGGTCATTGGCAAAGAGTATGGGCTTCCCTTCGACATGTGTAGCCAAAGACGTCGCCACGCCTCCTTCTGGACCAACAACCAGGAGTCCATAGTAAGCATCTGCTATGTACAAATCGCCGCTCTGTTTGTTAAACCTTAGGCCAAGCGGCCTCCCACATTTTGGCTCGACTTTCCATTGTTTAGACGTCGTTGAATCTTTCCCTTTTGCACACAGCTTCTCCGACCTTATAAAGTACACATACATCAATGGAAAAACAAAAATATAGTTACTGAAATTACAGTATATATGCTTACCAGTTATGAGTGACAAGTGCAAATGTTTCCCAGCCAATATCTTCTCCGAGCCACCTTACAATGCGTCCATCAGCTAGTCCGGCATATGGACCACGGCCTGAAATATCAAATTCTAGTGATTCAGGACCATAGATTTCATTAACAAACTCCAAATTCCCGAGGCTTAACCGGCTCTTTTTGTCTCCATGCCAACTTTCTATGACTTGTTCATATGGTGCAATGTCATTCTTCACTGGCCTAAAGTCATTTTCCCCGACTGGACTTAAACCGAATGGATCTGTAACAAGGAAAGCAAAGGCTACTGAAAAAAGAAACAAGTAAGGACGTTGGATCTTCTTCTCCATGTGATAGGATGGTGAAGTTTAAGCTATTAATCAAACTGGAATTGTATGATTTCACAGAGTTATAGGAGGAAGTGACACACAATGTTTGTGATTCAGTTGTTGTTTGGAAGTAAGTTGGTCCATTTGTTAGTCATGTTTTCTGCATTGTTACTTCTTGTTTATAATGAAAAACAGAAGCATCTGGAATATTAAGAGTACTCAGATTTTCTTAAAAGTTGTAAACAAAACTATATTGTTTCATCATAGATTCACACTGTAACATTTGGTGGACTTTCACCTGTGAGGGTGTCTCACTAAAAAGGTTAGCCCGGTGTACTAAGCTCCCGCTATGCGCGGGATTCGGGGGTGGGCCGGACCATAAGAGTCCATCATACACAGCCTTACCCTGCATTTCTGCAAGAGGCTATTTTCACGGCTCAAACCCGTGACCTCCTGGTCACATAGCATCAACTTTACCAGTTATACCAAGGCTCCCCTTCTGAGGATGCCTCACTAATTTGTCACAAAATCAAAATTACCATTTTAGTCACCTGTTGCATATTAGGTAATCTTAACTTGATGGTATAAAAGAGTTGTACAATATCAGTGCACATAAGTTAAACTCTTGAAATATATGACTGACAAATTCATCTCATCGCCTTGATTTCTTTTTAGGCACCATATAATCTGAGGATAAAATTTCAGAGAGATTGAGGAAGAAGCAAGTCAAGCTGCAGAGCTACCAAGATCTTTGAGCAAAGATGTATGCAGCATGCAACAATGCCCCAAAACATCTCTTCTGACTGAAGTTCACTGCTCAGTGGAACGATTACAAAGAGCTACAGACATGCATTCATATCTCCTCATACCAAATTATGAAATGAAATGAAAACTTGCATTCAACTGTATGAATTACTATAACGCGATGTTAGCTATTGGAACCTTCATAATATTCAAATAATCAAATGGAAAATATAGAACCTCAGGATGAAAAGCTGCTAGAAGGTTTACTATTACAAGTTCTCATACTCCACTGAATATTCACAAAGACCAAATGTTACATGAAAAAAGCTATGTACATAGAACAAATACCAATGACCAACCTCACAAGGCTAATTTTGACCCTAGTGGGTTCCCCTTATTGACACACACACTTTTAACAGTAAAAAGTACTAGTTCAAACCCACTTAAACACAAGAAAGAGAAGCTTCAGTCACTGTATCAGTGAAGAAGCTAAAACGAAAATGACATAACATAGAGGTGGATACGCTGTAGTCTTACAATCAACTTGAGAATACAGAGTGGCTATACATCTTACATCCAGTTCTTGGAAACTAGGAAAGAATTCCCGGGCTCAGATGCAGTAACTGCTCCCTTGCTGCTGTTTGAGGTACGGCCAGAACCACTTGCCAGCAATGCCATCAAACTTCCTCCATGCACCCTTCCTTCAGAAACTGACGATGAGCTACCTCCAACTTGCATACTAGTTTTTTGCCTTAATCCAAAATGTTCCATATCAGAACCATAGGCAGACGTCATAGCACCACTCTGCATTTTCATGACATCAAAACAGATGTCTTCTAGGTTGACAATACCCTTCATCTTCTCGGACTGGTTTGGCGCTGAATCCAGGACCATAGCCCCTAAAGTGGCACCACCATGAACACGTTTGTCTTGCACGNTCTTGCACAAGAGCACCATGAGATGCACAAAGTCCAGTCTTCCCTCTAGCAAATGAGTTGCAAGGACCGTCACCTTGGCCAAATTCAGAATCGGGCTGACCCCAAGAGCATCTCTTCCCTCCGCCGTGGGCCTTGCAGAAATCAGTGCTTCCCTGAGCACTTTTTCCACAGTCTTCAACTTTGCATCTTCTTCCACCACCATGACGTACACAAAAATCAGTTCTTCCCCTTGCACTCTTGGTACACTCTGACACGGCACATCTCTTGCCACCACCATGCGCCACGCAGAAGAGTGTCCCCCCATGAACACTCTTCGGGCAGACCCCACCTCCTTGGAATGAACATCTTTTCCCACCACCATGACCCTTACAAAAAGGCGTGCTCCCCTCTGCGCCCTTGTTGCACCCTTCAAAGGTGCAACGTTTACCACCACCATGTGCCTTGCAGAACATGGTGCTTCCTTGCGCTCCTTTAGTGCACTGGGGGTACTGACAGCGCCGGCCACCTCCATGTGAAATGCAGAGGCCAGAGAGACCTTCTGCGCTTTTGGTGCAGCCCTTGTTCTGGCATCTCTTGCCACCGCCATGTCGAATGCATAATCCAGACTTCCCTCTGGCAGCACGAGTGCACCCATCTTGACTGCAACGGCGTCCACCCCCATGAGCAATGCAAAAGTCAGTGCGTCCTTCCGCACTCTTGGTGCAACCTAGGAACTCACACCGACGACCACCCCCGTGGGCTTTGCAAAATGCAGTCCGGCCCTCAGCTCCCTTGTGGCAGCCAAGTTTCTGACACCTACGGCCCCCACCATGAGCAATGCAAAGGCCAGAAGCACCTCTTGCTCCTTTTACGCATCCCTCGAACTGACACTGTTTGGTACTACTGTTACGTTGTTGCTGCTGCTGCTGTTGTGTTAACCCGGAAGTACAGGTGACTGAGCTTTTTGAATTTGTGATTAAACTTGACGAGAGATCAGGAGAGACTGGAGCTTGCTTGATTTGTGTTGCAGCCTGGTTCAAGAAGTAACTAGAACCAGCTTCCTTTGGAGTTTGTAATGGAGGGAAAATGTTGCTGGCCTTCCAATGTGTAGCTGTTGATACTTCATCAGTGTGAAAAGCTCCAGCTATAGCCTGTGGCGCCTTCATGATACTTTGTGGTGAGGTGGAGAGCAAATGAACAGTAGTAACATCAGATTCAGCAGCACCACTAGAAAGACTTAGTTCCAGATCAACTGCAAGCCCTTTGTCAAGTTTACTTGAACTGGGGTGAGCAGACTTTTTTGAGCTCGGGATCTTCTCATTACCAAGATGGAGACTGAAGTCCAAGTCCAGGTCCATCGAAGACCCTTCATCATTTTCTCTTGCTGAAGACATTGAAGTGCACGCAGCGCCTGAGCTCCCCTTACTATCAGAGGAACTTGACGAGTTGCCTAAGCCTAGGCACAAAGATGAACCAATTTGCTGATCAGCAGATCCACCAATTGAGCTCCATTTCCGCTTGATTCCTTTTGCGGAAGGGATAGAAGGAATTGAAGAGCCAATGGAATCAAGCCGTAAGGTGGTATCAGCACAATGACCACCTCCAACTCCAGCTCCACCAAGTGTGACGGATTTGCCCAGATTCTTGAATGCATTTAACTGAGGGTTCACAGTAAACCCCACATAGCTGAATCTGGGATCCATAAGCTAATAGCTGGTACAAAAACTCCTATTTGAACAAAATCTCAATTGAAAAAGAACAGTCGCCTGACTTCCGGGCTTAAGAAAAGTTAGTCTTAACTACGGTTAGATGTGTCTACAAGAACACATCGCACCCCCGCTTACGAATCCTGAAGTATCCTTTCGATCCATTAGCAATCAAATTTTACCCCAAGTTCTTGTAATCAGCAGCAAGGAAGTAAAACTTTGTGCAGCATCAAAATCACCACTGCAAAATCATGACAGACCAACATCCTGCACCAGATCGAGTCACAATAATAAGCAAACATTACGTCTCTCTCCTTCCAAACAGAAGAGATGATCACGTCAAGAGTAGAACAGACCCAAAAAAATCAAAATAATTTATTGGGCAGAAGAATAAGCTATTTGGAAATAGTACACAATATTTTTCTTACAACCGAGAAATCCACGTTCAATGGGGCACAGTTCGAATAGTACACAATATTAACCACACTTAGGTAACTTTTTCCTCTATAAGCTTGCAGGATACTGTTCTCTAATTTTCATAATTTTAAAATTTCCCCTCTTTCTATTTTTGTAGCTAAAACTTCTATAAAGTGGTCTATATTGTCCTAATATATTTAGCAGAAAGCTCTGAACAGTTCCAAAGGAATGCTTATATTAGCTACACACTAGAAGCTAAACCTTTTTCTTCTTTGCGAATAAGCAGCTGAACTTTACAAAAGACTGAAAAAGTTTTTCTTTCACCAACCTATATTTTGTTTTCCACCGCACTAAACCTATATGTCCAACAATTTAGTTCAACATCAGATGTCAAAGGAAAAAAAGTACACATACCAACTCAGAGAGAAAGAAGGGTAGCTTTAATCATCAAAGATTCCTTTCACTAGAAGGCGACTCTTATATTATGGTTGAATAATTTCTTTAGTTCTAACTGAATTCATTTTTGTTTTTTAGTTAAAAAAAATTAATGAATTTCTATAAGCTGATTTGTCCTAGAAATTGTCTCACTTTTCTTTTTAGCTTTGTCATAAAATGTACTGTAGTTCATTTTCATTCTTGGAGGTGCTGCAGATATTTTTTGTTAGTTTTTCTTAACCATTCAATAATTTTCATCAAAACCACTTATATCCTTATCATAATTAAAGCTAGAACCTACAAATGTTCCCTTTAACCATACTTTCCTTTTCAAATACTATAATTTTTTTGTTTGTCAGGGTACCAGGTTACTTGCAAGCCTTTCTTTTCAGTTTTCAGTGGGCAAGAAGGCCTGCAGCTGGCGGAAACTAGAAATAGACCTTACCCATCTACAGCTAGTCAACACGGAAATCAAGGACCAAGTATACATAGGTTTAAGACTCGCATATAAAGATTGATACTTTTTCATCAGAGATAACAGAAGTACAAGGATATTGACTAACAAGTGAAGATAAGCGTGAAACATCTACATCCGCAGGCAGAATCTCAAAGAAGGTCAATCTTCTTCGAAAATACAGCTAAACCGAGATGTAGCTAAATGTACCTTTCAGTTAATCCATTATGTGAATCCAATTTTCTTCGAGATCATAGACCTGACCAGAATACTTGACGTTCAATTCCCTACATCCAGAATACTTGACGTTCAATTCCCTTCTGTGCTCCCTTCCTAAGTGATCAAACAAGACAACAGAAAGAGAGTTGATAAGAGCTTACGAGGAGCCAAAAAAAGGAGCAAATGAATCAGACAACTCAACTCACATACAGATTAGATATCAACCAAACTAGATCTAAAGGATGTCCAATACAACTATATAACAAATATCAGAAGGAAATATTTGCAACATAAACATCAATTTTGCAACACCCAACTATAAAAGGATGTCTAATCCAGCTAAAAATAACAAATCTAGTAATAACAAAGATACTAGCTTTTAACTATACATCATGAACTTAATTCGATAATTACAGATTAAACCACAACTACCACCTCTTTATTTCAAAAAACCTGGTGATTACAGGGCGTTACCAAGAAATCATTTTATTGATTTGCATCATAATCAGTTACACTTTCCAAGGCCCAACTTGTGAAATTCTACATCCAACTAAAAGAATAGAAACTAGCTTTAAACTGCATCATCAAGAATTCAATTCAATTATTACAGATTCAGCTACAATTTCCGCCTTTTTTCTTTTTACATAAAGAGGTGATTGCAGGGCTCAATTAACAAAGCATAGTACTAAGTCAAGCAATCAATGAACATACAGAAAAAAACAAACCTTAAACACCAGAAAGAACCCACCTTAAAATATCCAAAAAAAATATTCCAAGATTGGATTTTTAGAGAGATAGACAGAGAAGGGGACCTAAGGCTAATTCCCATCTTTTTCTTTCACAAAAGATCGTGAATACATGGCTCAACTAACAAAACATTTTACTATTAAGTAAAGCAGTCATGAATATACAATAAAAATCAAAACTTGTATAATTTTTTTGCAAAACCTTAAAACCAGACAGAGCCCATCTAGAAACAGAAATGATAG